CTTTTTTTATTATATATATATATATATATATATATTTTTTTTTTTATAATAGTGGCGTTATGGCCTATATCGACACACAGTCGCTATAGGCCATAGCGCCACTTATTTTCACGTTTTTATTTTTTAAAATTATCAACTATATTATTTTTTTAAATTCTTTTATTTTACATTATCATATAAATTTTAATTACTATTTTATAAATTTATTTTTCCATTATTTTATTTATTTAATATATTTTTTTATTTCTTTATTTTTTAAAATGAAAATATGGGGCGCTATGGGCTGTAGCGACTTTATTCAAGCTGTGTGTGTCGCTATGGACTGCAACAACTTGGTTAATATGGCTTTCATGGCTCATCTGGAGTTACAAAAATGCCACGTGACATGGGTGTCGCTATGGGTCATAGCGACACCGTTATAGACAGCCCCAAAGGCGTAAATACTTTCAAAGTAGCCCCATTTACATAAATAAGTTGGTCAACGATCCCACTTTGGTCAAAAAACCTGACTTGAGAGATATATTTGGAGACTAAAGACCATATCCAACGAAAGATTCAAAAGAAGTAGGAAGTGTGTTGAATAAACATACAAGTATTTGATGACGATGAAATTTTGAGAACATTATGCGCAAACAATCTTTGTTTCTTTTATAACTAAAATGCTTCACGTTATTTTTATTTTGGTTCCTTTTATAAAGTTTATTCCCATTTCAACATTTGCATTGCAATGTAATAAGTGATGACCAATTGGTCAACTCCCAATTTCTTGTATTTATATATAGAAAATAGTATTATAACACCTCGAATTTTTATATTAATATAATTATTTAATTATTATTTATTTATTTATTATATTTATTGGGGTTATTTTTTATAATTGTTTTAATTAATTAAAGGGGTTTTATAAAATATTTGATTAATTAAATGAGTTTTATAAAATATTTTAGAGGATTTTAATAGTTATGAATGTTTTAATTAAATAATAAATATTTGTGAAATTATTTTGTATAATATTTATTAGAGAAATATGTGTTTTATGGCATTTTAATATATGTACACACACACACATATATATATATATTGTTAATTACTATTATTGTATTTTTGTTATAATTATTCAAGCTAGTTTTAATAATTATTTTAGTTATTTTATATATAAATGAGAATATTATAAGATTTTATAATTAAATAATTTATTTATTTTATTAAATGATTTAAGCATTTTGTAATTGGGGTTAAAATATTTTAACTATTGGGTTAGTAAGAAGTTAAGGTTTTAAGAAAGAGATTACGACAATCCTTTTGTTTTTATGCTTTTCTTTTGTTTTCACGCTTACATTATGAAGAATTAGGGGAAGAACCAAAGACTATTGGAGAGCAGCTTGGGGATTTGCACCCTATTCATCAAAGTAAAGGAGGAGTGGTAATTTTACTATAGGCATGAGATGTATGTTAGGTAGTGGAATTGACCTCCAATCTTATCTCTATTGTTTATTTTGTATGTGAATGTGTTTTTGTCTTCTTTATGATTCTTTGGTGTTTTATTTAATGTTATTGATATGTATATTTATTCAATTTAGTATTTGATTTGATAATTGTGAATTTTGGATTGACCATGGATTTTTGTATAATCCTAAGGGAATACATTTTGATGTTTGCATATAAGGAGATGGTATGAGCATGTGAATTTATGTTAATGATGGCTTAATAAAGTGATTTTAGGCTTTTAATCTATGATTCTATATATTGATGGTCAATTTTGATGATGAGATGAGTTACGAGGTCCAAAAAATCAAAGTTCGGATTTGTCAAACTTCAACATGGGTGTAATCAATGAATCACAGTTGTGACTGGTCAGTCACAAGCGTGACTCATGTGTCATGAGTGAGACCAGTGTCACCAACTTGGCTAGTGAGTCACGGCTGTGATGCGTTTTGATCTCGACCCCTTTTGGTTTTTGCTAAGTGAGTGGGTATGATTGGAGTTGTGATTGTGATCCATGTGTCACGATTGTGACTCATGATGTTGCTCCTAAAACCTAAACCCTAAATCCTAGTTTAGGGTTTATGAGTTTGAGATAACTTGAGGATGATTAGCTTGAGGATACGATCTAGTAATGATAAGGAAGTAATTAAGTTAATGTTCAAAAGATATAATGATGATTAATATTCTAATAATCATAATTATAGTGTTTTAGTAGTGTGTCTTGGGATTATGATTCATAGTGTCAAATATTGAATGGTTTCACCATTTAAGTGTTTGATCTTATGAATGGTTTGAGGTACCTATATTAGTGTTTAGGAAAGACAAGTCATGGGAGAGGACAATCGGGAATAAGTTATATAGTGAGTTAATTGTTAACAACTTGAGATGTTTTGGTAAAAACGTTGCCTAAGAAATTAATATGTGATATCGATATAATGTTGCTAGAATAATGGGTTGAGAATGCGAAGTACGAGTGTGTTAATATGAACTTTTATGCAATACAGTTGCGAAAGTATTATTGATTAATATGAATTATGAAATGTTATCTTGTTTTGATTATGAATATGTTAAATATGTTAG